TTTATTCAGTCAAGGCCATTTTTCAAACAAATAATGGAGCCGTTTATATGGGTTATTTATCTAAAATTTACTATGGGTTATTACGCACAAATCATTGCTGGAATACCAACTCATCCCCCGGCGTGCCTTTTCATTCTATTTAGATTGAAGTCATTAGGAGAGTGTAATGATAAAAAGATCTTTATTAAACGTGCTGTTAATTATCTTTGTTTTCTCTTTACTTGAAGCTCACATATATTCATGGGAGGGACAGCAACTACATACCGGGAGGGTTTTTTCTTGAATTTCTTCTTAAATGCAATAAACCAGATTGCCAACTAAACTTGGAAAATAGTCTACATATTCAATGATTGAAGAGGCAAAGAGAAGTGAAATGTCTGTGACCTTTGTGCTCACGAACTTCGGCAATGGTCTCTGCACGGCCCGTACAAAATGGGTCATCCTCACGTGTATATACACTACGTAGCGGTGCCGCTAAAACGTGGCATGAACATATTGACTCTAGCCCGACTCCGGATTTACAAATCAGTACTACATCCGCGGCGTGGAGACGGGAATTAGAAAAAAATTTAAAGTTCAATCCTTGTACCCAGCGCACGTGAAGCCGCTGCGCCCAATACTGTCGATACATTCTAGAGGAATCAATTAAGCGCAAGTTCATATTATACCCATGAGTACTGGGGCCGAGTACAGAGTACTTGACGTTCGAGTACATGCAAAATTCGTGTACGAAGAATAGAGTACGGGTCAAGTCCAAATAAATTCCGAGCACTGATAGTCGAGTACGGGCCGAGTAATTGCATGTACTCGAGTTGTACACGAGTACTCCGACACTGCTGATGAGTCATTTAGAATAAATACTTCATAGCATATCCGGTGTCCGACTCATCCTTAGAGGAGTATTCTTGGTGCCTCATTATCATACACAGGAGGATGGACCTACCACCCCACCACCTGCAGGGGTGGCCTAGAAATCCACGTCTGGTCACAATAGCAAATGCCATCTGAATGGCTCTGGGCCAATCAAGATATAGAAGCTGTGGGTGAGGTGCTATAATGGTAACTTTCATCTGGCAAATGAGTGTTGTTGTTGTCGTCGTCGTCGTCGTCGTTGTTGTTGTTGTTGTTGAGGAGATTAGGGAAGCGGTTAATTGAAATATCCAGAATCTTTTAACCGGCCCAGTACGGAAATTGTTTCAGACAAAGCAACGTGCCATTTCATTTTATGGATCACCAATACTTGATTTAAATTTTAAATTTATTTGTACATTTTCATATAAAAAGTTTCCACTATTTATTCTTAAACAAATTAGCTTTTGGATGAATGTATTCGACGATATTGCCAATCATTTCTTTTAATCAATTAAATTTAATCAAGTTATTTATTGTAATAAACTGAGTATTTACAGTTCTCCCCGCAAAAATTGCATTGCACATTTCGGATTTTTCACACTTAAAAAATAAGGATTTTTGCTTTAGTTCTCAACTACTGTCCTGATCTTATTTAAACCTTAAAGGTACAAGGCATCGTTGACTTTTATTTCACAAGACTGGCCGATTTGGGGTTTTGGAATTTATTGCAGCCACGATTCCACAGATTCGTTTCGTGTTTTGAGATCACTTAAGAAATATCACCGGAAAACCGTTTTTAAATGTCTTTTACGGTCAACATGATCGCAATTTGTCTTGACCACAATCCATGGATTGTAGGGCATTACGAGATATCATTTTTGTGAAGAAAATTCTCTTTTCATAAAGTCAAACGTAGAACTTTGATTAGTATTTTCCAGTTTATAATCCCCTTTTATTTCAGTTAAATAATACGCTTGGGGCATACTGGCGGCATGTTTTTACGATTTCAGTGTAGAAGTACCCATTCATTTAGACTCCAACATACAATTACAACAGCAGCACCTCACACACAAAAAAACGGACGCGATAGTTAGAAAACAAATTCCCAACAATTATTAAAAAACAAAACAGAAACGGTTCTGTTTTCTTAAAAACAATTAGCATTCTGAGCGAAATGTTAAGATATTTAGGCCTGAATTGCAAATACCATTTCCGTGATTTTACCAGTGGAGCTTTACCTATAATACAAATTACCGGGAGTTTTCACAACAAAGGTGGTTAAAATCTTACCCAACCCCTCTGCACAGCTGTCCACTATAGCGACTATCCATCCGAGCACCCAGGTTTGAGTTTGCAGCTGTACCGTGAGAGTAGGCAGCATGATGGCCAGACATTTGATTAAGGTGTCCCAGGTGAACCATGTCACCCACAAGGTAAGCACCGCCGACCAGCCGATTCGACCACCATCTTGCAGACACCAATACCCGCGCCGCTTCCTCCACCGACTCTTCTGTAGATCATGCGCCATTTCCAGAACTGTCATGCCCGACTCCAGGTTTTTATGGTTATAAAAATAATCTACAACGTGGGACTATAATATTATGCCTAGAACATATGCAAAAATAAATTCAAAGAAGCTGCGTCAACCGATTCTTTATGACAATGCTGTAAGCTGAAAAGCTCGTCATGTCACTAACGCTGGGAGGCTGACAATATTGCTAAAAATAAATTGACATTTTTTAGACTCTGGTAGAGTGATTGGGACTGGTAGTTTCTGGGAAGCTTAATTTTGACATTTACTGTATTATCGGATTGTTGGGCACATCTGACATCCCTCTGGCGTAAACTAAGCATTTCCAACGTGGTCTGGTCCAATTACGATTGAGCAAGTTGAAATATTGTTAATTTTGTATTGGACCAATGCAGCCAATAAGAAATTGGACCGATACGCGATTATTGTGCCATTAAAAATAAGTGTTACTAGATTATTCTGCAAATATCAAACTATATACATGTACAACATTAATTTGACTGAAAAAGAAGACTGTTTAAATCGCAAAATATCAGTGTGTCATTCCATGAGAGTGTTAATTAGCTTGGTATATGGAGTTTCAGCCATCTGGTAAAGGTGGTATGCTAATGTAGATTTACTGCTGGCGTTATTGCAACTCAGGACACTAATTTGGGGAAAGGACAAATTGGCAGTCAGAATGGAGTGAGTAGTTGACCGTAAGACTTCTCATATTTCGAGCGCTGGTTTCTCGAGAAATGAAACGTTGGCAATATCTTTGCCAATTCAAAGGTTTAATACACTCCTTTATGATTTAAAACAGCATTCTAAAATTACAAGTTAAAATGTGCATGAGTGGAAATGTCGATACGTGGGAGGTCAGAATTAGTATTCTGCTTTATTTCTAACGGCTATGCTTTTTCGGAGGTTAGTTTTTGTATTCGATTGGTTTTGCTTGGCTTGCTGTTTTTTCTGTGGTTGTTTGTTGATCCTTGTGTGTTTCTGTTGTTAATTTGACACTTTATAACATTTTGTGTCTGCATTTTAAGGTTCTCCATATTCAAACCGTTTCCATGTTTTTCCTGTCTCTCTCTTTTTTCACATACAGTGGTAAGAACTTTGTTCATTGTACCACTACTTTGTAAGCACGGGAACCTTTTGTCATCTGTCAGCTGTACGCCACTGTCCATTTCGGGAAACGGGAAGGTTTAGCCGTCCTGATTGGCTGGTTCAAAAGTGGCATTCCCGTTCACTTTATAGTGCTCGCCATGCATGCATACAGGTGTCTCGTTCTTTTGACGTTTTCAACTATCCATAAAATACGCCGGAGCTCTTTTATAAATAAGATCTGCAGTGATCTGTATATCTGCAGTTGATCTCAAAGCGTCAGAAAATGACAGTCACCATTGCACATGCTTGTTTTCGGTGTGCCTGGAGCCCATTTGTCTAAGTTCGCGGGAGTGTTAATTGAAATCGTGCAGGAGTGAAAAGCGACAAACGCATGCAGATGCAGGACAGAATATTCAATTTTGGAAGGCACAGCTTTGAAAACACTGAATTAGCGTGGTCCTAACATTGACAGCGATAGGTATACACTGTAGTTTTTACACTTTTACAGCACACTCTTTGTGAAACTTAAATGAACTCGAAACTTGAATGGAGAGCATTAATATCCGTTTCTATTTTCTCTGACCTAAAGTCTGGTACAAAAAAGGAGATATTTTCAAGAGTTTATGCGAAGCAGATACCAATGGCATTCTCAAAAATGGACTGAATGGTGGCTTCTAACGTTGACGTTTCTCCTTTTATAGTGACCAAACATTTTGATTATACTCTATCTAGCGCCATATTCCAACGCATAAAGCGTGAAATGTAAAAGAAACTGGTTTAATTTTGTTTTTATTCACAGGAGTGATCAAGAGAAGGGTATTCCTCAATCAAATTGTAAGTTCACTTAGATTGACAGCAGGGAGCTACCTCGTACCGCCATTGATCGTTCACACAAAGTTGGTTCCTCAAAATCGTCCACAGTGGTTCAAAAGGTTGTGGCCGGTTCGTATTTCAAAATTATCGTGGCTTTTTGACTCATGAGGGAATGAGAAAGAAGAGCGATATTTCACGACAGACGTACTTCGCGAAATTACCAGCTGTACCTAAAAATCAACAAACTTGGGTTCCGAAAATTTCAGAATGGCTAGGATCTGCCAGGTTAAGTCACGTGACTGATGAGAGTAACAGCTACCTGACACTAGGATTCGTATATTTTTTTATCAGGGTGTTGAGCATCGCTTGATATAGGAGTATGAGTTCACGATGAACTGTTAGCACGAACAGGGGAAGGTGCATTCACACACTCTTAATCCTTTGTTAGATAACACACTGCTGAAGTTTTCACGAGACAGTTTTCGATATTTACTTACTCTCGCATCACGCATACAGAGATGGCATTGTATATTGAATATGTTTCAGATAAATAGTTGATACTCGACATCTTCTCAGGTCTTGTACAGCAAATGCGTGGTTTGGTCAGACGTTCGACATTCGTATTGGTGTGTAGAGCAAATGCGTAGATTCAGCTAGACATTCGTTATGCCATAGATATATGTGAACAGCAGATGTGGGTGTTTAGTTGGACTTTTGACATTCACGCTCTGTACAGTAAATGTTAATCATCACTCATCAAAGTGTACAATATTTCTGCTTATTTTCACAGTCTTCAACTCTTTACTTCTGTTTTGGAGGTTCAGTCTAGTCTTCACTGTTTCTATCTTTTCAAGTTTCCTCTTTTTTCTCTTATTACATTACATTGTATTCATAGCTCGTGTTTATTTTACGTGTATTCTTGATTCGTATTTTAATGAAAGTATGGAAAGAAATGTTGTTTTGAATTTGAATTTCGCTAGATATGAAAGCATGTAAATACAAAAAATCGAGTAACTGTCACTTTGTCATAATTTATGATCACTGCATGTACAAAGAAACTTCTGTACTACCACTGCGTTCACGGCCGCTCTAGTCGGATTGAAGTCGGACTGAAGTCGGATTGCATAATACTGGGCAGGCAAATTCTTGGCTTTATGGAAAAGCAATAGTAATAGCAAAAGTAATAAAGCAGCCTGATATTTCATGTGGGTCATTGGCAGTTCCAGGTTTGGAATCACGTATCGGGAGCAGATATAATGACAACTATTTAAACATACTTGTCTATAACATTTGTTTTCTTTCTGTGAAAAAAATCTTTACCAACCAAATACAGAGGCAGTAGCCAGCGCATTCAGTTTCTTATAAATGGTAATATGTCTTCAGGGGAAATATGCCCCTTCCCTTTGCCAGTTACGCCAGTGTATTTGATGTTTTTACGCTTACATCAGAGCTCCTTTCCAGATACAAGGAATCCCAACTGGATCAAAGCGTTTACTTGCATTTTAATTGAATGTTTATTTTGTATATTATTGTGTAAGGTGTCTAGACGAAGCTAGTTCTGGAGGTCATTGCTCATAGTATACATCCAGTAGCCGGGTGCCAGATTCTTTTTAAAGTTGACTTTGGTTGGTCGTGCCTGTGCCTCAACGAATTTGATATAGCAGCTGTTTAACTCAGCCTACGCATTCAGCTCAGAAAACTGATAAAGAAGACGGCAAAGACTTGTTAGAAATAACATTACTATAGATGGCCTACTGCCTTTGACGTCAGAGATATCATTTTTAAGCCGTAAATCAGCGGAATTGGATCACATGCAGTCAGACATGTCTGCCATATTTTGATAGACCGTGCAAATGTTTAGTATGAATCATTATGTCACTGCTCCATGTTGGTTCCCATCATGATTTACGTGGATAGTGGATAATATGTTGTTCACTGGTGGTAGCCAAGAATGGCTTTCAGTGGGCCATCTTTTACACAGGACATGCGAGGATATACACATGAACGTGAATAAACAGGAGTACAATGAGGAATGTAAATTTTAGGAGGCTGTAGGTCAGGGGCGTAGCCACGGGGGGGGTTGGCTGAAGAACGTGCCCAAAAATTCCTGGTGCCCCCAAGGACCTCCCCCCCCACTAAAAGACGAGATAATGGATGAATGGATATTGAACAAGGCTAACAAAAGATTGCCCCAAAAACCATACCACTGAAAGCTGGTGCCCTCCATAAGATGCTGGTGCCCCTAGGGTCTTGCCCCCCCTCCCACTAGTAAAGTCCTACCTACGCCACTATGGTAGGTAAACCCAAGACAAATATCCCATGGAAAATAAACTCGGGGTCTGCATGGTAGGAACAGAAAACCAAATTCCACGTGTCAGTCGCAGTGGAATTCGAGCCTGGGTTGCAGAAGTGGAAGATGAGAAATGTAAACGAACCACTTAGGCAACCGTAACTCCCTTGATGAAATAGGCATGCATGCATGTGTGGGCACCGTGTAATCACTTGTCTGGGATAACTGACATACTTTGCTTGGCGGTATCTGCTTGCCCATGATTAGCCCCCGAGAGATTCACCGGGACATCAAATTCATTCAAGTATTGGAGCGCACACCAAAATGGTTCCAATTCATTTCTTAAGCAATTGAATAATTTCCTTACCTGTAATGATATACATCACAAGGAACAAAATCATGGTGGTAGTATAAATATGCTTGCTTTCAGTAGATATAGTCAATGGCCTGTGATTAAATGTGAACGCTACTGCTGATCCACACTGTAATCATGTTTCTTGCCTTACCTGGAGCGAAGCCTATAGCAACTCGTAATGCTGCAGTTTTTAATCCTACACAGCCAAAGGCATTGACCAGTTGGTTTGCTCCTAGTAACTCCTTCGTTATGACGTCAGACAGGTTACAGGAAATTCCCTGAAAGGGGAGAACCATTATCCCGCAGAACACTATCTGCCAGTAGGAATTCATCCATGGGTCGATTATCAGGCCCGTGGTTGCGATGAGCGACGTGATGCTCAGCAAAGTCCGACTGCTCATGATATCTCTGTCCACGATGGGGCCATGTAGAATTTTCAGGACAAGGGTGGCAGTGCCTACCAGGGTAACAACCAGAGCCGCGTCTTGTTCAGCCACGCCTTTGACAATAGCGTGGGGCACAAAGTATATGCGCCACAGACACATGGCAATGTGGGTGCCTCCAGCAATTAACGTCGTGACCCAGTACAAGTGGTTTTTAAGTAGCTTCATGTTCGAACTCTTGAGTTCATCCAGCGGTTTCGACTCAGTGCGATCAGGGGGATTCCTCGCGAAAGGCAACAGCGGCAGTGATTCGGGCTCGCCTTCGTCAACTGGTTCCTCGTATCTTTTTAAAAGGACCCCACACGCGGCAAGGTGTAGACAGATAGCGCCTATGATCTGCAGGTTGCCTCTCCAGCCGAAGGTGGTGAGGCAAAGTTGGGTAAATGGTGGGATGCAAATTAACGCAAAGGAGTCACCTGTCTGGGCCCAGCCGTTGGCCATCACGTACTGCTTGCTGAAGTTTGCCCCGATCATTTTCCGAGTCAGATTGCTGGCTACACTAATGCCGAGACCTAAAAGGCAACAGAGAGTAAAGTGTTACCATGATGCCAATTAAGACAGTGAGCTCCAAAGTTACTTTCAGGTATTTGACAGTCCAAAGCAGATGAAATAATAAGGTTGCATTGGGAAGATTTGTATTGGCTTAGCTTGAGCTTTTATTTCAGATCAAACCATCATGTAGTGATAACTCAGGAACTTGTATTCAGTAATCGTATTTTTGGTATAATGTTGGTAAAAGGTTAACAGCACTGTCGTAGGCATTTTCGTAGCTTGCAGTGAGAATATCTGTTGTTGATGACATCGTCTCATGAAATGCTTTCAATTTTGGGAGAGGTTCATGTAGGCTTACTTGCGGTTATCAGTAAAATGATACCAAGCTGGATCGGACTTGTGACAAATGAGGAAGCGATGATTCCACCTCCAACCATAAGTCCACATACCAGAAGAATACAACCAGAGCTAAAGCATCTAGACAGGGGATACGCAAGGGTTCCTATAAGGGAGGAAGAAACAAACAAAACACTGTAGTTCTTCTTGAACAGATTAGTAGAAGTTATATCCAGGCCTGCTGCATGTGATGAACGGAAGGGCTCAGAAATTTGGCCTTATTTCAAAGCCTCAATTGCAGAATTAACTCTGACGATTAAATAGAGTACGTCATTGGTTTTTGTCGTAATTTTACAAGATTGGCTGATTACGGTGATATTGAACACTGCAACTTACATTCCACTGACTCGCATGCTCGAATCAACTGCTTTGCGAAAAATAGAGAAAAATAGCGCAGCATTTCACTTATAAATCGCAGATCTTGTAATTTATCAATATTGTAACGTGTGCCCACTATAGATAGGTTCTTACACACCTGAAAAAAAATGAAGGTAACACAGGATTTTCTGGTTACAGGGGCGTCTTCTGCCGTTTATTTAACCAAGAACACACTTAGCCTTACTCTTTCCAAACACGAACTGACTTGTCCTCAGCAACGTCACCCAAAACAAAGAAAACAAACCTACTGCACCAGCGCCGCAGGCTACGAATCTCCAGGGCCAACCAGCAGGGGCTTCACTGCACAGCTCTATCGTGGTTCCATGCTGGTGCCTTCTACCGGCCGGTCGGTCGGTGCCAACGCTACACTGCCCCCCTCGAGGACTCTTGTTGGTCCCCGAACAACGGAGCGAGCGTCAACGACTAGTCTGGGAGAACTCCGGGGTCCCGCGGCGCCGACAGTCTCTGTGCGTTGGAGCAGTTCCTCCCAGAATCGACAAGGCACATTCTCTGGGTAGAGTGGCGGGGGGCACCCCAGGAGGCAGCAGTCCCCATGGACGGCTGGGCAGATGCAGACGGATTGACGAAGTACTGCCCGTACGGTTGCCCCTGGTAGCTCGTCCGAAGCCGCCCAGGTACTTTGTAGATGTGGGTAACTCGCGTCCGCCACAGCTGGTGTCCGTCAGCGTCGACCCCAGTGTGTGTGGTCTCCAGCCTCCACTCGTCCCTCAGGTGCTCGCACAGTGGCACTCCCTGTGAGTGCTGGCGTCTCTTGTCGAACTGGGCAGTCGTACCAAGGTGGTGGTGCCCAACTTAACCCGGGTGCCATCTGACCATCAAGCTGAGAGCCAACTGGCAGGAGGAGGGGCCTCTCATCCCATGGCAAAGCTGGAGTCACCTGAGGCACTTGGGGGCTCCGTTTGGGTCCCCCCGTCTGCCAGCACTGGACTGGTTGGGACCTCACACCCCTCGGAGTGGCTGGCCCGAGCCCTCTAACGCTGGCTGCCACTCCAATGGCGTGGCTGGGTTGTAGCCGGGCGAGGTGACAACAATGGGGCCGCTTCGGATGGCGACGGCCCCCCACCGGTTGTGACCTGGCTGCAGGGCAGGAGTCCTGCCTGGACAACTACAGTGGGGAATACGACACCTCCGCCACCCCAGGGTTGCCATGCTCCCCAGCCAATTCTGGCTCGGCATGCTCGTCATTCAGCTTGTCTCCACTGGCGTGGGAATCCAGGATGTCCTCCTCTACACCCACTGTCCCCACAAACACCCCTTTACAGTAGCGGTGATGGCGCTCTCTGACGTCCTACCGGTAGAACTGAAGGCCGCAAGCCTTGATGAAAGCGTAGGGGCGTTCTGGATGGGGCTCTGCACACACCGTCTGCAGGTGCCTGCGCAGGTTCTTCCTCTGGTTGAATGTCTTTCTGAAGTGGAGGCACTCGATCGGAGCAATCCTGCAAGCAGAGGAAGGGATAGAGAAGTTAGTAAGTTGGAGGCAATACGGGCTGGGCCGATTAGCCTTCCAACCCCCCTGGGTAACCTTACAGGGGACGTCTGCAGCGGCCTCTGTGGCTTCTTTTGGTCCGAAATTGACGTCGAGTCCACCTCGGCCTCACTAGCTCCTGCACCGGGGCCTGGACCTGTAGTACTCTGTCTATCCGGAGAAGTCTCCGTGGGCGTGTCTGATGACAATCTCTCTGATTCACCTGGGGCCGGCTGGGGCTGGGCAGTCCCTGCTCGCCCGGTTACCCTCATTGTCTGGCAGGTTGTCTAAGATAGGTGTTGGAAAGGGGCTGGGCAGCGAAGGCCCTGATGCTCCAATGCCGGCCGCTGTCCTCCTGACGCAAAGTAGTCCTTTTACGGCTCAGACTGCCGCGCCACTCGCTCCCACCAGCCCACTTCCCCGTCAGCCAAGTATGGTTTCAGCCTGTTGTAGTGGACCACTTTGGCTTGAGACTGAGGGGACTTCTGTGTCCTATATGTTGACATCATCGATCTTCTTTGCCACCACGGAGGGACCTTCCCACCAGCATTGGAGCTTGGGCAAGCGGCTCACCTTTTGGGCGGGGGTGTATAACCATACCGGCTGCCCCGGCTCATACCCGGCCCCTGCCGCCTTGCTGTATGCCGTTTCAGATACACTTGACTCTTCTGTACGTGGCGACGGGCGAACTCATGGGCACCTTCAATCCTTACCCGCAGCCAATATACGTAGTCGTGTACTGCCACTCCTGCTTGCTCCTCCAGCTGGCCCACTACCAGATCCAGTGGAAGTTCCACCTCCCGGCCAAGAGTCAGCATATTCGGTGTGAGTTTAGTGCTGCTGTGCTGGGAGGAACGGTAGGCCATCATCACATAGGGGAGGTGTTCATCCCAATCATGTTGGTTCTCGTCAACGAACAGGCTCAGCATCGTCTTCACCGTACGGTTGAACCGATCCACCATTCCAACTGGCTAGGGGTGGAAAGGTGTAGTGTGGGTTTTGTGGATGCCAAGCACTTTACAAACGCCTTGGAATGGGTTTGCCTCGAATTCCTTCCCCTGATCCGTGTGGATTTCGAGGGGGGTACCGAAGCGTGTTATGACCTGCTCGACGAGCACCCTGGCAATGGTCTATGAAGTGTGGTCAGGAATTGGAAAGGCCTCAACTCACTTGGGGAAGTAATCAGCCAAACCATAATGCTTGTATTCCCTGCGCTTGTTCATGGGAACCTACCCGTGAGGTCGGTTGCCAAGCGTTCCATCGGAGCACTCACCAGATAATGTTGAAGGTGAGCCTTCCGAGGCTGTGGAGGTGGCTTCTTGGACCCACACTTGTGGCACTTCCTGTACCATTCCCTGCCTGACGTCTCATGCCCCTCCAATACACGGGGCCTGCCTAAGCCTTGCAACCATCCAGGATACCCCTAAGTGACTCGAAGTCTTGTTGTCATGACCCAAGTGTAAGACGTACTTGACTCTAACTTGTGGAACCACGATCTTCCAGGCCGGTGGTTGGTTGTTGGGCTGCTCCCATCTGATTTTCAAGACCCTCCAAAACAGTCTCAGTGTCTCCCACTTAGCCCACCAGAACTTAGCATCTTCGTCCAGTGCAGAAACATCTCGCCAGCTAGGTTTGGGGCCCCCATCCATGAGCCATTGCACAATCCTTCCCAGTTTAGGGTCTTCATGCTGTTCCCTCTTTAACTGTTCTTGGTCCCAGGCCTCTAGGAGTTCTTCAGGTCCATTGGTCTTACGTGGGCTACCACCTGCGACCATTCCCAACAACGGCTCCTCCCTGCTACTGCGAGACTGGCCTGGTGGCGAGTCCCCCTGATCATGTCGGTCACCAGAAACTCCTCCAGTGTAGCATTCTTGGTCCAGTTCCCTTGGTTTGTCCTTCCGGGTTATGCGCCTGAGACTCTAGGAACGCCTCCATCTCAGTTGCAAGGGTGATAGCTTCGGTCAGCGTGGTCGCTCTCCTCGAAAACATGTGTCGCTGCAACTGCCCATCTCCAAGGGCATTGCGGAAGGCCTCCACCGTCAAATCTTCGCGAGCCTGAGCAAGTAGTTTCAGATAGGTCTTAGCGACTAGACGTCGGATGGATTGCCCCAGACTACTTAAGGCCAGAGCTTCTTGGGTCGTACCTTTTAGATGAGATGCCAGGAACATCGCTTTTTCCGCATCACTCCAATGGTTGATCGCTGCGGCGCTCTCAAAATGGAACAGGTAGTCAGACCATGTAGTGCTCCCGTCAAACTTCTCTGTAAGCATCATTGGTCTCCACCCCTTTGTCTTTGGAAGGTTAGCTTCTGGGGCAACTTGTTGCACGATTACTGCCCCCCAGCACAGGTGCGGCCCAATTAACAGATGTGGTACAGCCCCAATAACTTCAGTACCTGGTAGCTGCACAACTTTGACATGCTGGCCAGGCAACGCTGACTGCCCCGCCCCCTTGACCTGTGTGAGGAGCCGTTAGGCCCCATTGACTTGTGAGCGGAGCAGCTCTGGCGACTCCGCACCATTGACTTGTGTGAGGAGCCGTTATAGCTGCTCCCCTTGTATTATTTGGGAAAACTGGCGGGCACCCGTGGGTGACTGAAAGTATAGCCCCTCCCCGGCCGCTTCGACAGGCATATGTTGACAACATTCTGGGTGGAACGGAGCTGCTGTTGCGGTACTGCCCGCAATGTGGGGTGATCCTTCGGAGAATCTCGCCTGCACTTCTTCGGTGAAAAGTTTTTCCGGTTGAATCCCCGCCCCCTGCTTCCTTGACAAGTGCAGCTTGACTGTGTTCCGGATTAAACATTTTGTCCGCCGCTACACTGTCAGCAGCATAGGGCAGTTCCCCGACGAAATTACTACTGGTACCCAGTGAACTGAGGCAAAGTTTGTGGGGTGTTCCCATCTCAAGTCCCGCCCCCAATGCACCGACACGCGCAACCCGACAGCGCTCCGACTGGGGCGAACTGTCCGTCTCGCTGCCGACCACAGCATAAGGCAGTTCTCGAGGTGTACCGCAACAAGAGGCATCGACGGGGACAAAGCATGGAATGAAAGTCGGCTTTTTACATTGCTCAACTCCCACCATCCTACCCCCGTAAATGCCCCCCTCAGTGCCAACGGTTCCTAAGCCAAAGTTGAAAAACGATTCGAGATCGTCGATTGTCAAACTGGTTTTACTAGTAATCTCCCTAGGCTGTCCTACAGACTGCAAGGCCCTGATACAACCCGCATCTCCGCCGTGTGGTGCGTCAGATGCCGACTTAATGTAGTTCGGAATATTCATAAACTGAACCAACAACAAAATTCCATGCATGCAAAATTCCTATAGACGTGTGCCGTCTATAGGTTCTAATTATACACCTCACAAAAATCAAGGTAACACAGGGTTTTCTGGCTCCAGGGGCGTCTTCTGCCGTTTATTTCACCAAGAACTTACATAGCCTTACTCTGTCCAAACACGAACTGATTGGTCCTTAGCATTGCCGCCAAAACAAAACCAAAAGAAAAAAAAAACCCTACTGCGCCAGCGCTGCAGGCTACGGGTCTCCAGGGCCAACCAGCAGGGGCTCCACTGCACAGCTCCATCGCAGTTCCATGCTGGTGTCCTCTACCAGCCGGTTGTGCCGACGCTACAATATCTTGCGTAAAAGCTATGAATCACAGGGCATTCGTAGTCAGCGAGCAACATCTGCGTGGTCAGGGTGGGTAAAGGCATGACAGTTTCTCTTTCCCTTAAAACAGGAACCGTTTTCAACGGCTAGGAGTAATAAGTGAATTTACCTCGGAGTAATGCGCCTCATCGAAAATGTAGCATCACAGATTGATGAAAAACATTATCCAGGAACGCATCAACTTGTGTCCGTGACACTGAAACGAGTAGACTTATACGATAATGAACGTGTGCACGCGATTGCACTTAATGACCACACTTTCACGTCAGTTTACACGTCAGTGAAAGTCTAAAAACTCCATTCTTAGTTGACTAACTAATAATTGTCTTAAAACACAGGAGGTTTAACGTGTGAAAATCGTAACTTTTGTTGACGAAAAGCTTTCACCAAGCAGCTCGGAAACAGCCACTGTAATTGGACCATACCATTATGCTCTAGGGGTGATTTTGAATTCGCAAAGATTTTGCATTAAGAACATCCTTTTTTAAAATAAATTTAAATTCACACTGATCCAATTTATTTCCTACTTTACATCTTACACTCAGTTTCCCGTAACTTTGGTTTACAATGTGTTTGGTGATTTTCTGTTGGTATGATATTCTTTAGCTGCTTAGGTTCACCCGTTCATTAATGGAGATTCCCACAACATGTGCATACCTACAAAGAATGTAATATGCACAGTGAAATAAACTCTTAAACGATGGTCGGCCGGCCATAGTGAAAAAGAGAAGAATGTGTACACTACGTTTAAAAACATGAACTATACTATAACTATACTGTACCTTATGTCATCAAGTTCGATGACTACACTTTTACAGATGCAAATGGAATATGGCATACTGCGTGCATATCAGTGATACACCGTGTATGCACACTAATCCAAAGCCAAGGAGAATTCAGTATTCTCTCAACGTTCAGCGTTGCTGGCATGAAGTTGGCATTGCGGACTCGGCACGATTAAACTGACCGAAAATGCAATCAGATCGTTTCACGATCTTAAAGACTTCGATACGATTGTACTGCGACCTAAAATAAATTACGGTATGATGGTAACACGTTGATTGCTGCGAGTGTAGCGTGTGCAGTACGCTTGTAGCAAGCGCGTCAGTCACGTCCCCGAGCATTTCTCATTTGCTGAAAGATTGCATGCACCCCATGAGTTCTGTACCGCGTCTATGAAGATCCGCTATGATGCTGATACACCAAGACTACGTGTATGCCGTCTTTAATTTTGCTGTCACTGCGATTTGAAGCCACTACACGGTCCTGCTCCGTAAATTTTGAACATGCTCAGCAGTTGCCAGTAGTTGCAACTGAGTGCTTACTCAGTTGGATCTCACCATGATTTGCCACACTCCTCCGATCTTTTTGAGAATCTATGAAGATCGTGTTTGAGTGTGATTCGCGGGGGGGGGGGTAAATACAGACGCTTTTTACTGTAAATTCTTTGACTGGGGGTAAGGCCAGCTGTAGAAAGCACAAAAGCGTCGGCAGAGTAAAGAAATGGTTAATACGCCCTGTTTTTATTTCGTACAGTACTTTGTTCAAGTGTTGTATTGTTATTGATTGCAAGCAGTTTCCTCGTTGAATGCTACCACATTCCGATTTCGCAACACTGTCGGGAAGGAGGATTCCAATCAATCGGTGTTTTTATTTTAGACCTCCCTCATTACCACAAGTTCTGGCAACAACAGCTTCCAAAGCCAATCAGAAATGTTTGGTAGTTTGGGAACTTCAAAAAGTGGCCTATGCTACTGAGTATTTTGGTAGTCGTGCAGTCATGGTATATAAAGCCACAGTTTTGCATAACGTTTTCAATCATCTCAAGCTATTCAAAGGAAGTCTTCAAATTCATTCCTGGTATATACCACACGATAAAGCTCTCTCTTTATAAGATAGAAAAGCGAGTTTGTGTCAGAAAGCCTTGCTTTGAAAAAGGTACAAATCAGGATATTTCAGTCACCAGCTCCCAGCTTCGAAAAGAGTCCTGTGATGTGCCTTTTAGATCGTGCTGCATTGTAGACGAAACTGTAGTTTAAGTGTCCTGTGCCATATCGTACGATAATTCGAAACAATTGCAAGGTTAAATCGCAGGATGAGAATAATTGAAGTATATGAATTTTCATGGTGGTATTAGGAGTCCACGTTTGCGATATAGTCTGTCTGTATATTTTAACGCGAGTTTTAAATGACTATCTTTAAGCAGTTAACATTCTTAGAGCAATTTTGTTGCTTTTGTTGTTATTATTGTACCTTATTCTAAAGCTTTGTACTTGAAATCCCCATGCAATTTGCGGCCTACGCGCTACTACAAGTAAACTATTTCAAAATATACTGTATGCTAATGGAAATACCATCTTACCCATCCCCTCTGCACAGCTGTCCACCATAGTGACTATCCATCCGAGCACCCAGGTTCGAGTTTGCAGCTGTACCGTGAGAGTAGGCAGCATGATGGCCAGACATTTGATTAAGGTGTCCCAGGTGAACCATGTCACCCACAAGGTGAGCACCGCCGACCAGCCAATTCGACCACCGTCTTGCAGACACCAATACCCGCGCCGCTTACTCCGCCGATTCTCTTGTAGATCTTGCGCCATTTCCAAAACTGTCGTGATTGACTCTTTTACTTTGGGGTTGGTGGTGAAAGTATTATTTTGCAGACTGTAGAATTGGCTGCCAAGTCAGTAACTGGATGGGTGTTGTTAGCGATCTCCCCACAGCCGCCTTTTTGCTGAGGCTATACCCTGGGGTGAGGGTAGTTAATGTGTTGCCAATTAACAAAGGTACAGTACACCAAGTTTAAACTACAGTTCCAGAGTTGCGACGAAATGTGATTTCGTAGAAATAAACGTTAAAATGTGCATCATGTAAAACAATTAAGAGCAACTACCCGGGCAGGGTATCAACAGATAGACTGCTGCAGTTGTTCGGAACGGCTCTGGAAGCCTGACTTCAGACTTCAGATTTTGTATGAGCTGAATTCAGTGCATATTCATGTAACTAGTTCGTACTAATTCGTGCCTTTAATCAAAGGAAATTTGACCTTTGAAGTTCCACACATGTAGATGTATAGGTTGCCCCTGTGGACAAAAATTGTGACATAATGAAGGGATACTCGTAGACCTTCTTTTAAGATGTAGTTCTCACATGTCCGTCATCATCAAATATTGTGCACAGCAGCAGTTATTGCTGGAAAACCATATTGAAATGATGAAAAATATATTTTTTAATATTGCATGAAGGTTTACCAGGAAAAGGTCAATTTGTACGTCGTAGACATATACGGACATTAGCAACAACTGCCGAAAATCCGCAATATAGGTGTAAAATATTTGGGGAATATTCTGGAACAGTTTCGTTTTTATATGTATGTGATGATTAAGGCTGTCGGCCAGAAAGATTCTCTAAAATATTCAATCCTTTGGTTTGCGAACCTTGCATTCGTATAAACATCTTGTGATATTTGGATCCTGAAATTTGAAAGACAAGATCTAATAGTAAAACTAACTCCTCACAGAGTTTACTTCTAAACGTGGCCATTTCAGTGCATGGCAAATAATGTCCCAGTTGGCTTGGTGGTGTCTGCTTAGTTTTTGTCAAGTAGGGAGGGGATGGCCTTCATTAAATAGAAACCGCTTCTCTCGATGGTATAGCTTGAAAGAAACATCCAAACATTAATTGCTTTGCACTTTACAAATTAATACATTCAGTAAGACCAGTACAGGATGCGGTGGAGATGCGACATTAACAAAATTCTTTTTTTTATGTTCTAAAAATACCAACATTTATGGCATATTTGAAGTTCTCATTATTCCAATGTAATTGTTGCTGGAAAATATAATTTCCTCAAAGTATTTCATGCATGACCCGAAAAGCTTCATAGCCATCTGGTGCGTATATTTTGTGAATTTAAATATCAAAATGCTTTGGTATATCGTGGGGTTCTGTGTAGTAATTTATGTTTCTTGATGGGTTACGGGGAACGAAGTTGTAGATGTTCATTGTACTGCAGATGCTCCTGTACTACTAAGTTGCCTGAAAAAAAATGAAATTGTCCACAGAAACTAACAAACGTGAATCCTTGTCTAACGTAGTCGTATTTTGTTGAAATAACTTTGTTAATGTTTGGCTTAGATTAAAGCAACCATGATGCTATACAAATATTTTACTGTAATGTTTGAATTGCACTTTTGTTTTTCAATTTTTCCTATATGCTATCTTTTAAACAGCATATATGGTACAATACTTGGGGGACAAGTCCTAACAGTGACACTAGCTGCTTGTCTTTGCAGCGTATGGTACATAATTTCCAAGTTGGTCTGAGGTGGGGTCTGCATAATTTTTTTTTGCTAGCGTGTGCATGGACGTCATTTAATGGACCTCAATCTGCTTCTCCTGATGGTGTAAACAAATTTCTACAATTAATTGCTTTGGAGTTCATAAAATGATACATGTACAATCAGTTTTATTGGTACAGGATGCTGTAACGGTGTGGCATTAACAAATTCTGTGTTGTCATGTTCTAAGTGTCCAAAATGTAAAACATATGTTAACATCTCACCATTCTATTGTAATTGCACCAGGGGCACATAAGCCCTTCAATTAAAGTATTTGATGCGGGGTTCAAAGAGCTTCACAGCCACCTGCTGCAAGTGTTTTGTGATTTTAAATATCAATATGCTTTTGTACCATGCAGCCCTGTGTAGATACTTACTTGTCGATGGGCTGCGGGAACGAGTCGTAAGATGTTAATTTCATCTTTTAAAAATGCAAGTGTAGCTTATTCTTAAAGACATTACCCAACCTGAATACAAAATTGTATTAATCGAAAAAGGCTGAATTCATTGATTAATTTCCGACATTGAATATGTAGGTTTAAATCAAAGGCGCACAGTATAAAATTATACTCTTATACATGTAATTCCGGAGGAAGTCATCATGTTTTATGTCTGTTCTATGGTTTTAACCAAGTTGTTTTCAGGGCGTTAGCTCCGTCGATTATCTTCCGCAGTCCCCCCAAATCAAATTGTTTTGCAAGCCAATTCAGGTCTACTTTTTGGGTGGATCCTTGTCTATTTTGGTGCTTCAAAGCCTCATCTATACTTTCATAACAAGGGTACAAGTGGACAACGATTCGTACATGGTCAGAGTCGTAGGTGTTGCTTTCCTTTGCAGATGACTAAAGACATGAAGGCCAAATTTATTTTGAAAGAACAGGAACCGAAACGGACTAACAAATTGCCTTTCTTCCACTGAGAAAAAAGCTCCTTTACAAGGGTGCCATGCCCCCCCCCGATTCCATCTGCCCTTTGAAGATGTCGATGAAACATTCGCTCTGTTTACGAAATAGGTCATAATTAGGATAAATAACTTTGTCTTGTTTATCCTGTCTTATGAAACTAATATTAACCCATTCTCGCAGGAGCGGATTCGTAAAGCTTCAACTCTCTTGAAAGCCTGGTGACAGATTGAACGCCATTTCCCACGATCAGCTGCCAAGGACATGGTTGGCATAAGGGATACTGTAGAGTTTGGTGTTTTATAGCCGCTAAAATTGCGCCGTGCCTTCGCGTCGTGCCGTGCCTCCTTTCTCATTACTTTTAACTGTGTTTAATGCATCACGTCTTGCTGTCGTGATGTCGCGTCGTGGCGTAGTTGCGTCGTGTCCTGCTGTCTTGCCCTCGCGTCGTATTGTCGCGTCGTACTGTTTCGTTGTGCCGTTGACCCGTTGCGTCGTGTCGTCGACCTTTTGCGTCGTTGCCTTCAACCGTCGCGTTGTATTGTCGCATTGTGCCGTTGCCCCTGTGCGTCGTGCCGTTGCCTCATGCTTTCGCCGTGAAAGCCCCTAATTGTGGGCCTATTTTGGATAGAGGCTGGCTGCTTCATTTTAGAATTGAGCGCATCGTTTTACCACTATTTAGGGGGTATCTTCGGGGAAAGGCGAATAAAGAAATTCACATGGCTAACCCCTCATAAAATTGATACGAAAAGTGATCTTCTGGCCATTTGAATTTCCAGTGAAAAAAGGAAGGACAACCTCTTCCCAAGAATCAACAGGAGGCGCTATTTTAGTCTGATTTAGCACTGTTTTCTATGGGCGCGTATTAGGTGTAGTGCAACCCTATGCACGCACTATTATTTTTTGCAGGACTTGTGACATACGCCCTTTATTGGCCTAATAGTAATCATCAACAATTTTTCAAATAGTGATGCACGACGGCACGATACGCGACGGCATCAAGATACAACACGATGTGACAGCACGACGTGACGCCACGACGGCATGATGCGACGCAGAACGGCACGACACAACGCATTAAACACAGCATAAAAGTAAGGAGATAGGTTCGAGACGACGCCACGACGTGACTCCTCGACGCGACGGAGCCGTCATAGCCTCGCGTCGGAGCGACGGGACGACGCAACGCACATTTGGCGGCTATAGAAACACCTGATATTACGTTGTGCTGTCGTGGCGTCGCGTCGTATCGTATGGTGCTCTTTAGCCTAAATTGCGTCGCATCGTGCCATCGCTACGACGCAACGCTATGACAGCCTCGTCGCGTTGTCCCATCACGTCGTGGCGTCGCCTCTTTTTTCATCACTTTTATGTTGTGTTTGATACATTGTATCGTGCCGTCGCGTCGTGCCGTCGCGTGGTGTTGTTTCTAGATGCCATTGCATTGTACCAGCGCATCTTGCTGACGTATCGTATCGTGCCGTCTGGCTGTTGCGTCTTGTTGTCCATCGCATCGTGCTGTCGTGCCTTACTCTTTCTAAAGGGGCTAGTGATTATCAAGGCCAATAGAGGGCGTATGTCACAGTTCCTGGAAAAAAAAGATGTGTGTGCAAACGGTGCATTAGGGTGCACGGAATCAGTTCAAGCTCCATTGAATATACATGTAGTGTAAAATCAACAAAATCCCTCAGGCCGCTCGAACAAAAACAATGCGTTGTTTGGTCCTGCGGATTTCATTTGATTTTCAATTTTAGTGGGTTAGATAATGAATATTTAATCATCCCCAAAAACAAACTCACCCCCCCCCAAAATGTGAATGTTCCTAAGTCTTCTCAACCGCCATTTTTCAAATGACACTCCACACCTTTCTCGGGCTCTTCTGACAAATCGTCAGTCACATTTTTTCTACTTTGCCCGCAGACGCGTGACCCTGAATTTACAGAGATGATCCTGCGCCCTACTTACACAATCCCACAATTTCCTGACCAAAACAGACCCCTCTTTTTGAAAGAATCTGTAGGGGTACTTTTGAAGCGCCTCGGCCTCGCGGAGAATTTTCCTTGAGTTGGGACACTGCACCCATAACGCCTACAAGATGTGGTCATATTGTGATGGTATCTATAAGTAAGGTATTGGAACTGAGCTCCGTCTCTAACGGTGCCCCCAACGTCCACTAGCGTGAGGCGACGGCGAGAGCACGATGCAACTGGTCGACGGCACGACACCAAGGCAGTACGACGCGACGGCAAGACAGCACGATGCGACGTCACTACACGACACAACTTTGTCGTCTATAGAACACTATACCGTCGTGCCGTCGCGTCGTGTAGTTGCGTCGCCTTGAAAGAGGCTAAAGAGAGAGACAGAAATGTGTGTCGTAAATAGTACACCATAGTATCGCCGTGTCATACTGTCTTGTCGTGCAGTCGCGTCGTGCCGTCTACCCGTTGCGTCGTGGCTTTGCCACCGTTGCATCGTGCCATAGCGTCATGCTGTTGCTGTCTCCTCATTACTGGTAGGGAATAGGGGGCGCCCTTAGAGACAGAGTTAAGTTCAATACCAAATGATACCATTTTCATGATCAAAACTTGTAGGCCTATGGGTACATTCCACCAAATCGTTAGATTTCTGTGCGCGAGCTCATTAATATTTTGTGATCCCACGGGATTTTTATAATAAGACATGTCATAATCAGGAGGGATCAAAGAGATTGTTTCTCAGATCCCAAATTTGGGACTGGTAGTTTCCATTTCGGCGTATTCTTTCACAAAATGCAACATAAAATTGTTAATTGTGCGTGCTCAGAACAAGTGCACCCCGTGCACATGTGTACAGATCTTGGAGCTCATGTGGTGACTTCCCATCAAAAGACCTTTGTTGCATGTAAAAACACACACCGTCTCTATCTTCTTCCCACTTGGATCGAATTGGGACCGATGGCTTGGTCACTTTACTGTACCTCATAAATATTCATCAGGCAGTCACGGCATTACACGTCCATTCCAGGAATTCAACTTACTTTTCCCCACGCCTTTGTGATCGTCTGGGTGTGTGACGTGCCAAAACTAGGGAGGAATATCACACATTCTGGTCACAGAATATAGAGTTGTCGTAGTACAGCACGCGCTTACATTGTTATCAACGAAGCATTACCTTTTTGTACATACCGTAGAAATCAGTGGTGAGGACAGTTACAGTGTGTGCCAGTCTATGTATATTTGCTGCAACGCTGTTACACGTTGTAGTAGGGATTGGAGAGTTCTGGAGCGCACACGCCTTTTTGCCCCGTTTTTGCCCAAAACTCCTGGGTACTACATCGACTAAAAAAATCGCGGAAATAGTTTTGACGAGAAAAAATGGGAAAAACCATAAATGACTCGAAATCCCGGGTTTTGCCCCAAAAACCCCCTGGGTACCACATCGACAAAAAGGACATTTTAAAAAAATATAGACATTCTAGGGGATAAATCTATTTTACGCGGCTCCCCTTTGCTGGTGTGTTGGGTGACCTTTGGCCTACATCCGATCTACTTGCTGGGAATTATTTTGGTGATTTAGTAGAATAACTTACAGTGTATTGAACCGCCATTTATAGGTAACTTTTTGCTTTTTATTTAAGCGGTAATGTTGGTTCTATAATAGTTCCGTCTTTAATTACTATTTTTAGAGTTTTCATGTTTAATTTTGCAAAGATCGCGTGTATTGTGCGATCTTTGTTTTTTATTTTTGAATGTTAAACCCATTCGTAAATTAAAGAATCTCTTAGTTCTTTAGATTTAATCGCGTGAAAATCATTAAAAGGATCTGGATCTAAAGCATTTTGAGCTTTAATGTAATCTTCTCTTTTAAAACCCTTTATCAACATTTTTAAATACATTATTTATTTAAAATGAAAATCGTTATTTTTGCTTCACTGACCTTGAACTTTTGACTAGCACCGATCACACTAGCAATAACTTCTCGACTTGCCCGTTATAAAAAAAAACGGAATAAATAAACAAGCAATAAT